GAATCAATTCGAATCGCCATCGCTCCTGGATAGTGAGCACTTGACTTGAGCTACGGCATCGTAGTAATTATTATAGAACAATGATGGTTATCTGGATGATATGGGATATGCTAAATCTAAATTGGTAACCGGATGTTATTGGTTAATCAAGTGATTGCTATAGTACAGGTGCTTACCTAGATGGATAGGTTATAATAAAGATGATGCAAAGTACTTAAAATGGTTTATTCATGATAACTTATGCTTTTCGCAAACTGAGTCGGCTAGCCCACTAAAGAAAGCCTTGCATAATCCTTGGTGTCACTTTATTTCTGGTTTACGACGGGTAAGTCTGGCTGAGTACATTCGAGTACTCAGGGTTTATCCCACCTTGTTGCAGGTGAAGTTCTCGACCTGTTGATGATGGTGGCTAACCGCCGATGGGCTCGGTGATTCTATATTTAATTCTCATCTATATGCTTTTGTCTGAGGATGTCACTTATGCTAGCAACATATTTGGAACTTATATTAATGTAATCATTTGAAAGCTATGTTGTTTTCAATAATTGGTTTTGAAACCCAAACTTGTACTATTATTTGTGAACCCATTTGTAACATTATTTCTGTTGCAACTCTGCGTATGTGATGTGTATTTGCTTAATCACGCGATCTTGGTTGTGATGTTGATTTACCGAGGTCTTTCGAGACACTCGGCATACTACCGGGTTTATATAAGTGAAAGTATGCGCGTGTCTTAGCGGGGATAGCCGTACTTGATCTTGTATAAATTGGACGGTTCTGTCACACATGTGTTGGGTGGATGATCACGTTTCACGGGTCATAGCGATATTGGATATTGCACCAACAATGTAGATATGTGTTGGGAGCACAGTGTCAAATCGACCCACTATGAGACACCGAGAATATGTGCTATCGGTTTGTCTCGCAAATAACACACATACTAACGTCCTTTGATCTGAGATCGATGAAGTGTCCTGGATTGTGTAAGTCATACTTTGGGCTTCCAAACACTACTCCGTAACTAGGTAGTCATAAAAGTAGCTTTTGGGTATGATCTGAAGCAAGTTGTAGGGTGCGTCAAGATGGGATCTGCCCCTCTTGTATCAAAGAGAGACACCTCTGGGCCCTCTCGATGTGTAGGAACTGAAAGTGCATGGCCATGCCTTGACTAATGGTTAGTCGATAAAAAATAATTTATGGACGGAGCGAGAAATGGCTGAGAATCAAGGGTAGCACTTCACTCGCCTTGTACTTAGCTAGGCGTCGTGTGGCAGAAGGACATAGTAATGGCGAGTGTTATAGGTTGTGTAAGATATGATCTTCGTGGACTTTCGAGAGTTAGTATGCCTTGCTAAGTATTGATCGGAAATGGTTTCCGCATCATGACCGTTGGTTCCATGAACCTATAGGGTCACACACTTAAGGAGAGAGAACTGAAAGGGATGAATGGATCAATTGGATTGAGTCCATGATATTGCAGCTAGTGGTCATACTAACTGTCTCTAGTGCAAGTGGGAGATTGTTAGTTAATGCCCAAGAGCAATTGAGTATTGGCCCACTGCACCCCTACGATGCCCATTTCAGCTAGCGCATGAGAGTGCTTATTATATAAGCTAATTACTAGCCAGAGGGTAATTAACCTAGCTAGTAGGTGCGCATCCACGCCACCGCCGCCGGACTCTGCTGTTGGCTCGCGTGTGCGTGCGGCTGCTGAGAGAGAAGCAAGTGCCGTCGGGTCCTGTTGGCTGTTGCAGTCTCGCGGGCATCAGCGCTAGCACGTTTCGTCGCCACGTTCTCCTCTCCAAACGTGTGGACATCCATAGAGTTGCTGCTACTGCATTGCGCACTATGTCGTTCCTACGACTACTTTCTCGACGTCGACTACGCGCGTTTCGTCAAGTCTTCCACTGCACCGTGTGTCGGAAGGTATAATCTATGATCACCTACGTGCAAATGATCCTATTTTACGCGGTATTTATTTTGTGCTAGCGAGATGACTCCCCGAGATGAATTTTAGCTTCCTTTCAGGTAACGGTTATTTCACATGTTTTAAGTTAAAATTGCAGTTTTAGTTCGTCGCAATTACGTTAGCCATAATCTGCAATTTTTAGCTCCGAGAATAAAAAACCCACTAGACAAAACCATAAACCGGAGAAAAATTTGATCTGTGTTGGTACAAAGACAATTAACAATTTACAATTGTATCTATAGGTAGACAAGGACAAAATTTGATATATTATGAGACAAACATTTAACAAAACAATCAAGCTATTACTAGCCTACAGGTACTACTCAGCACGTTAATCATTGGAGCATCCGATGAAATTTGCCTCATGTCGTCCGTCCGTCGTAGGTGCACGCGTGCTGCAACAACGTCTATGTGTCGTCCATCCATGCACCAGCTTTTCTAGCACCAAGTACCACTGATAGATAGGAATTGTGTAGAAATATATAATGTCTACTGGTTAGCTATGGACATGATAATTCAACAAAAAAAAAAACTTGTGCACAATGCATATATAAAAGCACACAACCGTTCCCATGTTTAAGCACTTATACGTATGGTCTTACTTCCATTACTTTTATATAACATCATCGATATTCTGTTCTCTTTCGACAAAAACAAATGTCTCCTTTGAAATAGTTGTCTTACACTATTCTGTCTTCGACCAAAGAAGGTATGGTGCAATTGTTTAATTTAGGCATCCTAACTAACTAATCCAAAGAAGGTATGGTCCAACAGCGGCATGCCGCATGCGGCGGCTTGGCTCACGGCCGGCCCGCCGGCCGTATCTGATTCGTTGGTCTTCTGTCAAGAACCGATAGCTGGAATGAGGAGAGCAGTGTGGAGAATTAGAGAACAGCAGAGGAAGTATAGGGTTCTAGAGGAAGGAGAAGAACAGTAATTAGAAGGGGAATTCTCGAGAAGGAAGATAACCTTTGTTTTCTGAATATTCCATCTGGTTTCCCCTCCGGCTCCTGTTGTTTTTGTAGTGCTTCATAGTGTCTTCCTTGGGCCTTGGTCGCGAGGCACATGTTGTCCGGCCCATAAGCCCATGGCCATATCCTGACATTCCCCTAACCTTGAGATTCGGCTTGCCCCCAAGCCGATGGAGAAGGATGGAACCACCGGGATCCCAAATGATTCTTGACTTATCAAGGCCAAATGGTAATATGCTAGCTCTAGTGTTTCCCTTTGTTGCCATACTGAATTACTGATCAATATTGTATTAGCAAAAAGCTCATGAGACTGGGAATATGTCAAGCTGAAGCCATTAGCACTATACCGCACTTCCTTGCTGGTAGTCAAGAAGCCCATATCAAGCATCATCCATTCCGAGCTGAATTCCAAAGTCACAGACTGTGCAACCAGTAATGCTCCCTACAACACTGAGCATGCTATCATGCGAGCTGAACTGCATGCCCAAACACCTAGTGACCAAGGACCTGTCAACTGCAGAAACCTATCAGAGGTATATCTGGTGAACCATGGCCAAAACTTCCAAGGAACTAAAATAACTTGAGCAGCAATCAAACACACAGGTGCTTGCATGTGTAAATTTCTCTGAGCTTTTGCACTGTCAAGTTGCCTTAGTAATGCACAGGGATCACACCTGAAGCCATCATCTGCAACCGAAAGAGGAGCTGCACCTGAAGTGTAAGTTCCAGTAATATTTGTCCCCATTATAAAACTCCACACAAGAGAGCCATCCGCAATTTGTATGCACCTAAAGGACATACGAGGTGGAACAACTAACGCTGATGTGTTCATGAGCACCAGAACTGCATAGCTACAGAAAAATGGCCAGAGTTGGACTCCATCACATTTGATCTCAAGCAGCACATGCAGTGACCATGGTGGCACGAACTGCAGGGAAAACCAACCCAAACAAAATATGGACCATAAACTGCAGCAGAGCTTAATGGTGCCGCCAAGCAAATTATTGCAGTCCTGCCTACGAGGTGGCCAAGGCTGCAACTCAATGCAGCCATTCATGGACAGTCCAACCCGGCAGAAACAAGAAGCTGCCAAATGCTTGTCCAACACAGGTACGGTGGTCAGGATGCAGTCCAAGAAAGCCTTCATACCAATCTGTCACTGCAACTACTCTACGCTCAGGTAGCAGCAAACCATTAACCATGCATCGTGCAGTGGAAATAGTCAATAAGGGAGGAACTCCGGCACTTCCACTTCAGATTCAACACTTCCGTACAGCTGGCACCATAAGACAAAAATTGCTGCAACAAATCTTGTTTAGCATGCCAGTGATCCATGGGTCCTCCTGCAACTCGAAATTTCTGTCCTATCTCTACAAGCAAGGAACACCGATAATTGCCACAACACTTCCGCTGTACTAGCTCTTGAATTAGTGCACAGCCATCCATACTCACTGATAGCGCCATTAGACATGTCAGAAGCTCCTGAAGTGCAGTAGCTGGAACACACCTGATTAGTTGCCAGAGTGAAGGGAACCATGGGGGTGTCCATAAATAAGTGGAACACCAGCTTGCAGAACCCTCATCCAGTAGATTGAATGATGGCCATAGTTGAGGACGCAGCCCAGCATCACAGCTCACACAATGCAAGAATGTGACCGTACACTTGCGCATTGAACAACTAAGCACAAAAATCACAGATAACTGAAACCACAATCCTTTGCTTTGAGGTGGTGGCCACGGGGGCTTGGACCATATATGACATCCGGCTCAGTGTCAAAAAGATTACCAACCACTAGTCTGTGCATACCTTGTTCACGGAGCACTTGAGCTTGAGATGGTGGTGGCCACGGTCGCTTGTCAAAGCTGTGGACGACCTCAGCAGACACCTAGGTTGGAGTAGAACTGCTCAGTGCTATGGTCAGCATGGAAGTGAAAACACTGCGGCAATACATCGAACACTTAGTGGGCACGAAGTCAGCAGTATTGCTGGGGGCGACGTCGATGCAAAAACCGGTGGAGGTCGACGGAAGCTTCTCGGTGGCCGCGGTGGCGAGCTCGGTTTAGGCGAAGTCGAGGACGGAGTGGTACGACTTAGGGATGTAGCTGATGGTGACGGCGTGCCCGACGACACCAGACACGGAGAGCTGTGATGGCTTGACGGCGAGGATGTACGCAGAGGGGTCGGCGAAGATGGTGAGTGCTCCAAGGCATGTCGCGTCAGACGCCATGACGCCGAGGCGCGTGGCCGTTGGGGCCATCTCGTGGTACTCCAGCGGCGCAAGCACCTTGGCGCAAGCGCGTGGGCGTTGGAGCGGAGCTGAAAAACGTGGAGCAGAGCAGTCCCAAACACCCCCTTAAACTCTATTGATGCTGGAGCACACATCCAGTTCGGTAGCTGGCGTCCAACATATCCCCCACTCAAAATTAAATTCTCTATGCAGGTTGGAGGGCAGAGCTTTTCAAGGACCTCCTCAACTACACTCTATTGCTTGTGTTACTGCCCAGCCTCACGACCACTTGTCCATATAGTATGTCCACTTGCAGTATAGTACAACTGTAAATTCTCCAGGCAGGTTGGAGGGCAGAGCTTTTCCAAGACCTCCTTGGTCACGCTCTGTTGCTGTTCTTGCTCTGCCTCACCACCGCCTATCCCTATAGTATGTCCCCCCAGAGTATGTCTACTTGCACTGTAGTTCAATTCTAGATACCCAACTGTAGTTCAATTCCTGATTTGTTAACCCACCAAGACCCTTGCTCACTACACCAATATTTGAACTACTGGTGCCAAGAGATCTTAGACTGCACCAATATTTAAACAGTGTTTTTCTCTCACACCAAACCAGCCAACAATACTTTTAGCCATGGCTTTATAAGCCAATTCAGCCGTTATAGAGGGAGTACATGGTTATTTTGTACCATAAATATTAATATTTTGTAATATATATTTTTATCAAAGTTGTTTCTCGAAAAACGAAAGCGACAGATATTTTGAGATAGAGGGAGTACAAGGTTATAGAAGAAGGAGAAGAACAGACCTTTGTTTTCTGAATATTCCATCTCGTTTCCCCTCCGGCTCCTGTTGCTGCCGGGAGGCAGGATTATACTGGATGCATGGATCGGAGTCTCACCGTATGTATGTTGTATATAATGATCAGCGCGTGTTTAGTTTCCACCCTAAAATTTCAAAAAGTGCTATAGTATCCATCACATCGAATCTTGCGATACGTGTATGGAGCATTAAATATAGACGAAAAAAAAACTAATTACACAGTTTGGTTGGAAATTGCGAGACGAACGTTTTGAGCCTAATTAGTCCATGATTGAACACTATTTACCAAATAAAAACGAAAATGCTACGGTAACCCAAATTCCCAAATTTCGTGAACTAAACACGCGCCAAGATATAATGATCAAGCCCGTGTGACGATGGACTGTTACGCCTACGCACAGTCGTCGCCTTGGGGCCCCCCGGTCGGCTAGGTGGTACGCGCTGGGTGTGATGGCCTCCGGTTGGAAGAGAGATTCCTGCAAGTGCGCGTCCGTGCCCGGCCCCATCCCAGCGCGCAGATCGTGCGCAGGAGTAAACGTGCGCCGATCGAGCTGCTCCATGATGCGGACCCACCCCTGCGGCCTTGCGGGCCTCCCGGCCCGGGGGGTTTTGAATGAATCGGTTGATTGATGCCGACTCGGTTGAATCGTGGCAGTGTCAGGACGCTGTGTGTGTGTGGTGTGGAGTAGGAGTATGGCCGTATGGGCGAGCCGACCGCGAGCGACGATCGAACCACATGCTTTATTGGCCGCTACACGGCGACTTGCATGGCTCAGAGACTTCTTCGTAGGCCTCCTAGCTAGTCGACGGGTAGCCTAGCCTACGAGGTTCTCTCCTTTATTTGGCCGTTTGGAATTCGGTTCGGCTGCACATATGCCTACCGTATGTACATATGCCTACCGTATGTATGTCGTATAATGATCAAGATATGCAGTGTGTGTCCAACACACCCTTACCGTACGATTTGTTCATCAGGCACGACCAACGTGTCTCGCACTGGTAGCAGGCCGGTGGTCCTGCACCAAGTTTCCATTGGTACGCATGCAGTGGGCCAAGGGGGATATGCAGATTCAATACGGGGGCCCAAGCCCAAATATCTCTGTGGATTAGTTTGCCTTCCCTCCCCAACGTGGGTATTGCGGCCCAGCTTCTATTCGTATTAGAGTTCAGAAGAAGTACATCGATGCCGTCTCTGGCCCTCGCTCCACGGCTTATGTTGCCAGAAGGCTTACAGCTGTGTCGGTTGGACAACAGCGCCTCACCCTGGCCCACATGGCAGTGAGCTATTAAAGCCTGCAGGTCGTGTCGTTACAGAGTATAGTAACACTGAAATCGCTGCCTGAGGGTATTTTACTCAAAGGAACCACCTCCAAAAATATGCATGGCATGGAAAGTTGCGAAAGAAACAAAAAAGACATCAGGTCCATGCGAGCAATATTGCGCCGGAAAACCTTGGTTGCGGCATAAGATGGAATTGCCCGAGACCCCGATTCCCCGAGTGACAGTGGCCACCTGCTGGACAGCACCGCTAAAAGCAGCGCGCAAGCTCCTTAATATATACTCCATGTAGTAGTAGTACCAATAGACACTTAATAAAGTACATCTCAAAGCAATACTACACTACCGGATACAGGGCACTCGACAAAGGGTTTGCCGAGTGTTACACTCGGCAAATGATACTTGGCAAACCTTTTTATGACAAACGTTAGTTTCCCGAGTGTTTTTTGTCGTACACTCGGCAGAAAACATGCGAGCGTGCATAGCGAGACCCTGATTCCCCGAGCGACGGCGGCTCCAAAAATATTAAGCAGCACGCGGGCTCCTTAATATTTACTCCATGTAGTAGTAGTATTAATAGACACTTAATAAAGTGCATCTCACAGCATTACTACTATCAAACAATGGACGGAGGATCACAGAATTGATCCTGAGATGGCCATCCATATAGCAGGCAGTGGATCCAACAACTGGTTTCCGTGAGCTCATCACCGGTGGGCGGTCGCGCCGCAACCTTGTTCAGTCTTTTATGCACCTCATTGTGACCTTATGCACTTCTCTTATGACACCCTTCTTTTTTCCTTGTCATGCTACCAAGGACCAATCAATCTGTCCTGACGAATCTGCACATGCAAATATATATAATGTGTACTAGTTAATTAGCTATGGGTGGTAATTCAACCAAAAAAAAAACCTTGTGCACAATGCCTATATAAAACAAAATAACCGTTCCCATGTTTAAGCACTTATTACATAAGGTCTTACTTTCATTACTTTGAAACATCATCATCAATATTCTGTTTTCTTTCGACAAAAACAAATGTCTCCTTTGAAATAGTTGTCTTACACTAATCTGTCTCAATGTATCCGACCAAAGAAACTGGTATAGTGCAGTTGTTCAATTTAGGCATCCTAACTAATTAATCCATGGACGACGAGTGGAGCTTCTGAATTACTTTCTTAATTTTTTCCCTCCTGGTATAACTTTCTCCTACTTTTGTATTCGGCAAGTAAAATAATGTACTGCATGAAGATAATGCAAACAAACTAAAGAGCAGAGTGTATATATACACTACAATAAAAGATAACTTGGGTGCTGCAAACAAACAGCAACTATATATGTCACCGTATAGAGAAAAACTTGAAGGCTGAAATTACAAATTAGATAAAGTGCAGTTGATCTGCATGCAGTGAACTTACTCGAACATTGCTGATGTGAGCCAGCTTCGTCTTGTTCTCTTCTGATTCACACCACTTCTCCAGTTCCGTGCAACCACTTATCTCCAGCGTCTGAAGCTTGGTGAGTTGCTGTATGCATGCAGGCAACGACTTGATGCCGGGACATGCAAAGATGACAAGGCTTTTTAGAGAGGAGAGGTCGCCGAGCCACTCAGGCAGTGCTGATATGCTATCGCACCATTGCAACCTCAACAACTCAAGGGAAGTGAGGTGCCGCATGCTTTCCGGCACGTTTGTCAGGTGATCTCCAGAGATTGTCAACTCTCGGAGGGCAGGGAAGTGGTGGAATAGCCTGATGCTCTGGCAGGACTCGCCCACCATATGCAAATCCAATTTGATGGCCCCACTAGAGGAAGAGCAGTGATGACTGGTTATGTCTACCTCCTCCAATGATGAAATAACTTGGTCGCTGCTAGATAGAATGCACTCACGAAATGTTGGTGGGCATGGCTTCAACCTCAACCTTGGACACTGTACTATCCACAGAGTGTCTAGCACAGGGAACATGAACTCCTCCACACCATCCTCAACACAGTATGTTGTGTTCCACTCCTCCAACCCATCCATTTGTGAGATGGAGAAGGATGACAATCGACGGAAAGCCCCCTTGCCACCACAGAATTCCCTGTCGATTCTTTTAATGCCAGGCAATTCCGAGAGCTCCAGCTCTTCTAGGTGTGGTAACTGCCCAAGTGGTGGCAGGCTGCTACACGTAGGCATCTGGCTGAGTTCGATAGAAACAAGGTTTATGAGGTGACGATAAATGCACATGAGCCAGACTGGAAAGCTTGTACTGCTGTAACCTTCGAGGCGCATGCTCTTCAAACCAGTAGGTGGCACTAGTTGTTCCAACAAATCTTTGTCCTCCAAAATTTGAACCGCACGCTTGTATCTTGTAGACCAAGACAATATTAACTTCGAGAGATTATGTTTGTCTGACAACTTAACTTTAGTTGCTTCTTCTAGAGACCTTACATTTTCAAGACAATGTATTCTTAACTCACTGACATGGGCGCCCTCGAGCAGAGGAAGATTGCTGCAACCATTGACCTCATCTGCACGAACCTTGAAGAGTGGTAATGTTTGTGAATAATTTACCAGGGAACTGGCCTGATCCAGCAGTGCATCGGAGCACCCGTCCAGCACTAAAGACTTCAGCCCAAGTTTACCTATACTCTCTGGTAGGGACTTAAGCTTCGAACAACAAGAAAGATCCATTGTATGCAATCTTTTGAGGTTACCAAAACTTTCTGGAAGACATGCAAGACCAAAATTCCAAGATAGGCCCAGGTACTCCAGATTGGTAAGGGTAGCAATAAAGTCAATACTCCCTGGTAGCCCTTCAAGACCAGCACATGATGACAATTCCAAATATTGGAGTTGTGTTAGGCCACACAATGATTGAGGTAGTGCTTTTACAGTGTAACATCCACCTAGATTAAGATGCTGCAAATGCGCGAGATTACCAAGAGAATCTGGCAGTTCTGTTAGCCCAGAACAACGTGACATGTCCAGATGCACCATACACTTTAAATCACCAAATGATTCTGGCAGTTTTGAAATACCAGAACAATCCGACAAACATAGATATTTCAGACACCCAAGCTTGCCAATTGATATTGGTAGTTCAGTAATTTTAGAAGATCCATTTATATCTAGGTACTGCAGTTTAGATAGCTCAGTGATACACTCTGGCACTGTTGTTATTCCAGAACATCCTGACATGTCAAGATGAACCATAGACTTTAAGTCGCCAAATGATTCTGGCAGTTCAGATATACCAGAGCAGCCTGATAAACATAGATATTTCAGATACCCAAGCTTGCCAACTGAATCTGGCAGTGCAGAAATTTTAGGAGATTGATTTAAGTTTAGATATTGCAGTTTTGATAGCTCAGTGATACACTTAGGGAGAGTCTCATTTTGCATTCTTGGAGCAATAAGACACCTCAGCTGCTTCAGTTTGCCAATTGAAGCTGGCAACAATACACCCGAGCATTCACTGAAATCCAAAATACGCAGGCACATTGCAAATGAAAATGCACCACTCCGGATATTCAGTTGGACTCTATCTGAGAAATGAAGTGCCCTCATCTTTGAAGGCATATTTTCCAACTTTGTTGTACTGTCATACTTTTTGAGCAATGAATAACGGAAATATTTGTGGGCCCTTGTCTTTCTCGGTGGTGCAACATCGTAAATTTTTAGCTGGTCAGCCATTGTCAATCTTGCCAGGTCATGCACCAGATCGTGCATTGTGTATCGCACCTCATGGTTTTGAGAAGTCTGAAATGATATTGATACAACATTCATTAGAGATGTCAACTAATACCCACCTTTTAACCAAGAGTTTAGATCCACCTTCACATGATGCACGCTTAGGAATATTGCATCATTCATTAGAGATGTCCATTAATACTGCAAGGACACCAAATTTACTGACAAAAAATGTTGTGGAGTGTTACACGTGTTTTGAATATGTATAAAGAAGTTAGAGATTTGGCAAATCCCACGTCTAACTTAACATGTACACAAAAAAATACAAAAATTAATAAGATCAAAGATAATTGCCAAACTATAGATTCATGGTGTCATAGAAAGGGATGTAATAACAGTCCATATAACTTATGGTTTGGTTTTGAATAAATACATATCAAAGATATTGTATCTTAATATTACTAACGAGAGGTCCTCAACAAAGTCTGCACATTAATCCTCACAAGATGCATTAGAAAAGAAATTCTCATAATAATTAGAAACAGCTGCTATTAATCAGGTTTCTCTGTTTATCCTAGAGAATAATAGCTGTTGGATTGCTATTGTCTTAAAAAGATATCTACTTGTGCCATTATTGAAAACACAAATTATTACCTAAATATACATCCAAACTACCAATATATGCCATTATGAAAGATAATTTAATGTAACCCCTAAGTTTGCTTTTAAACTAACTACCTCTGTCATTATGAAAGATAGTATAAATCATCCTCTCTAATTTGCATCCAAACCAGTTATAAAACATAAAGAAGTCCTTTAAATCTGCTTTTACATTACCAATATAAGCTATAATTGACATTAAATAGACCTAAAGTACATTATACATGTTTATAGATTACACAATTCTGCCACTGTCAAACTCAAATTAAACATAAATTCCTTGTGTCACCATGCATACCAAGTATATACGCATAAATTAGCTAAAAATATATGAAAATAATTTCATTAAAACCGTGCAATGGAAATAAAATGTATTCCATATTAGACCATATTAAACCTATATAAGAATAAACAATTTTAGTTGTTACTTCAGATAAGTTTATACATTTGGACCAATTACCAGTAGCTTAACTGTAAGCACTCAATTTTTTATAAAACAATACTACTACACATATAATTCTTTGATAGTAGAAATTCAACAAGTGGAGTTGCTATGGTGCAGAGACATGCAGACTAAAAAATTGTTTATGCCTTTATATTAACAGAGTGTAGTCTACGACCTAGAATCCATTTTGAACAAAATATAAAAGAAAAATTTTGCATAAAAGATAAGAACTACAGTTTGAACTAGCATGTGGATAAAAAATACAACAACTAATAAGGTCAAAAGTTGAAAGCCAGCATACTTTTTACTTGTCCTTGGAAAGGAACATGAATTTGATACAAAATATTGGTACACATCTAGTTATAATTTTGGTACCTCTCCAATGGCTAAGAAACCAAGGATTAAAAAAAGAACCTCACCAATGGGGAGATTATAATTTTACCCAATGGTTTGCCACAACTGGTACATAATTGATAGTATAAATGACTGCATGCGCTGCATGACATACTATAGGCAAAAACAAGTAAGAAAATTAAAAGTAGTGTTCTAGGAGTTATAATGTAACATACCAAGGGCATCTTTAAAACTTGAAGGAAGGACATTCCTAAAAGGTGTTTGATGTATTCCTTCCCCTTTGATGTCTCAATGAAACCCAACACACTCCACTGGTGAATCAAGTCATTTTCAACAATATTGTGTCCTTTTGAGAATATGGAACAATAGGAAAAGCATATCCTCAGCTGCTGTGGCATCCTTTGATAACTCAACCTCAAGGATGGAAGCACTCTATCATCTGATGTTTCATTCCAGATATCACTGTCATTTATGTTTTTCCATTCAGATATATCTTTGGATTGTAACATGTACCCAAGTGCTTGAGCTGCCAATGGCACACCTCCGCATTTCTTTGCAATATCCAGTCCTATCCACTCAAATTCCTTTTGGTTACAATTACTGGATCTCTTAATTATTTCCCAGCATACATTATTCTTCAAAGGATGTAGCTTATATAGTTTACTGGTGGAAACTTCCCTTGCAATTCCTTCCTCTCGTGTGGTTACTATGACATCTATCATACTGCCCTTCTTGCCCACATGAAGCATTTTCTTCAGTTTGCTCAACTCAGTGTCATCTTTCTCCCATAAGTCATCTAGAACGATCAGAACTTTCTTGTTACAGAGTTGGTTATCAAGGCAGTCCATTATCACCTGCAGACCTCTATTCTGGAGATCCCTATTTTGCTGAGCACCTTCTGCTGATACTTGAGAAATTATAGAGTTTCCTATTTTCAATAAATTGAAATCTTGGGAGACATAAACCCACATACGACAATCATACTGCTTGAATTGGTCATCGTTGTATACTAGTTGTGCCAAAGTAGTCTTGCCCATACCTCCAAGGGCATAGATAGGAACAATCACTGTCTCATTCTCATCATGGTTTGATCTTGCTTGTAACAACAGGTTTATGATTTCCTGTTTTTCTCCTTCCCTCCCTTCTACTTCAGGCAAAAAATGTGATGTTGTCTCAAATTTGTCATAATGCTGAACAATAGTAGTGCAAGTGCCTTGTGTGCTGATGAACTCAAAACTACCAAACTCCATATTGATTTTCATCAGCTCTTTTCTCAAACTCTTCATCCTATTAGCGATGGCAATCTTCTTGTATGCAGTTGGGATACACGAGAGCACCCCAGGATTCTACAAGAATTTCATTTAATTTTCAGTTGGGTGATAAATTAGGAAAGATGCATTGAATTATAAATTAGTACTTATGAGCAGTTTTTTATAACTTAAATTATCAAGAGCTGCCACCCAGTTGATATCTCAGGTACCAAATTTGAGAAAACTCTATATATATGAATAAAGTCACTTATTTCTTCTATGATACTCAAAATTCTAGAGTTCCCTGTTTGACGCTAAATTCAAATTTCATTACCTATTTGTTTGTTATCACCGTTAACCGACACATAAAAGATCAATTTATCCCTACGTAGACACGTAGAATGTGATTAGATTGTGACAAAGTTTAATCATGTAATTAAGGTGATACGCCTTATATTTGGGCACACTTTATATATATGGACATGCATGTTGGCGAAAAATGCCAAATATTCATCCATGCACAAGGTGAAAATAACAAACAACCGGCATGTGATTCTTCATGTCACCCTCTTCATTTCAAAAAAAAAAAATCGTTCTAGGTATGGGCTAAGTCCATTTTTTCCAAGTTTGACTATGTTTATAAAAATATTATCAATATTTATATCTCCGAATAGGTTTATTATAAAAGTATATTCCATAGTTTATCTAATATACAACAATTATTACGCATCATAAACATTACTATATTCTTGTATATATTTGTTAAATTTGAGATTTATTGAATCATGAGAAAGCGATCAGATGGATATAGTTTTTGGACGGGGGGAGTATAATAATGTAAAACTACGCACCTTTGCAGTTGCTTGGTCACTGGTGTCTTGGTAGTCTTCGAGCACGTCGGAGATGTCTAAGGCGACGTCCTTGAGCCGCTTCAGCAATAGCTGCACCAGTTTCTCCTTTACCGACCGCCTCTCGGCGTCCTCGAGCGCAGCTGAGATGGTCTCCAGATGGTCCTTCATCTCCTGCAGATCATCGGTGAAGTTCCACAGCAAGCTGGCCTGGTTGCCGATGGCAGAGCCCAGTGTATCTTTCGCGATCTTAACGAAACCGGACGTGAGCAAACCAGCTACTGCTTCCGCCATGGCTACAGAGCTCTGAATCGCTCTCAGGCTCACGGCTTGTGTGGAACGATGTGCGCAGGCGGCCTGCGAAGTGCGTAGCTTCTAGTTGCTGGGGTCAGGAGCTCAGGATGCTTGGCAATGGTGATGCACTGCGATCCTTCTGTATCTATGGGCTCTGGTGCTAGCTATATGTAGGGGTGGCCGGTACCATTGTGATTTTGGCTGTGTGGTCCACCATGTGAGGTTGGAGCTCCTTGTTACTATTGTGGCAAAGGTCGGCAATGACGACACATGGTGCGTGTAGTTGCTGCCAAGTCTAGTTTTTCTCAGTTTCTTTTTAGTTAACTATGTGCCTGTAGCCTTGTATATGTTTTTCAAATTTTGTTTCTGTTACAAATTAGTTACATTAGTTCTTCCTTCTTAAGCGAATTGCAGGAGCTCTTTGCCATTTTCTAAGGTTGTTAAAAAGACTTCTAGTCCCATGCACACGATTTTATTCACCATGGACCCTCATCCTGGTTCGACTTAACATTGCCATCTGTCAGTACTGACATTGGAAATGGAAGTGGGAAATGAAGAAGCCAACTCCCCATTCCGCGCTCCCATCACTTTCTGGCTTCATAGTTCTTCTCCACTGGTGCACATCATGTGACTGAGTGTTGGTTGATTCACACTTTGCTACCTACTCCATCCCTTCTAAATTATAAGATATTTTAATTTTTTTAGATATAGTTTTTACTATGCACTTAGATATACAATATATCTAGATACATAAAATAGAAAAAATAATATATTTAAGAAAATCAAAATGTCTTATAATTTAGAATGAACAAAGTAGTACTCAAGAAAATGAAGAATCGAGACTATTTATATATGCAAGCAGCCATCGAAAGCGATGGACCGAGAGTGGAGACCTCTTTGACATGATAATTCTGTGGAGGAGAAAATAGTTTTGCTTTTCGTATGCTGCTGCTGGTGGTGGTGGTGGTGATTGGCCTTGAGCTTCGGCCACCTTTCCCTACCATGTGGCCATGTCCCATTCCATCGACAAAGTTACTGTATCTGCGAGTACGAGTACCGGTAGACTGAACGCCATATTATATTGATGTACACGGTACACCCTAGTACTAGCTAGTAAGTTTTTTTTTTAGAAACGGTACTAGCTGATATTCCCTCCGTCCCTTTATATATGTCGTCGTTGGTATATATGCCATAAGTTTGACTCGATTTATAGAAAATACATATAACATTTGTATCTTCAAATAAATTTATTAAAAAACTATATTTAAAGATCTTTACAATGATACTAATTATATACTATAAATATTAATATTTTAATATATATTTAATTAAAATTATTTCTCAGAAAGCGCAGGAGTAAGTGCAGCAACCTTTTGGTTTCCAGCTGCTGCGATTGATAGAGCCCGGCCCTATGCTCCAGCACCACATGCATGCATACTGCCATAGTGATCCTCTGCAACGGTGTCAGCTACGTAAAAGACAAAAACAAAAATTATTTTATATATTCTTATTTTTCTATATATTATTAGACCCACATATTCCTCTTAAAATACATCAACTATTTATTTATCGTCAGTAACTATTTTCTATCCTACTTTTTTTTTCTATCCACGTCATAATAGCTAGCAAATAGCTAGTTACTAGGACGCCCTCAACCACAACAGTTAGCTAGCTGGGGTTGTTGTCTAGGACATTGTCACGATGTTCAGTTGTCGTTCACATTCACACCTGCTACTAAGGCCTCGTTCACTTTGAAAAAGAGTGAACCCGATGAATAGTACCACTTTCGTCTTATTTGGTAAATATTGTCTAATCGTAGACCAATTAGGCTCAAAAGATTTATCTCGTGATTTCCAACTAAACTATGTAATTAGTTATTTTTTTACCTACATTTAATACTCCATGCAAGCGGCTAAAAATTGATGTGATGGAGAGAGAGTGAAAAAACTTAGAATTTGGATGGCATCTAAACAAGACGTAAGGGTGTGTTTAGTTGCCTAAATTTTAGACATCCAAAAAGCATATAGCACTGTAGCAATACTGTAGCGTTTCGTTTGTATTTGGTAATAATTGTCCAACTGTTGACTAATTAGGCTTAAAACGTTCGTCTCCTAAAGTAAAACTAAACTGTGTAATTAGTTATTTTTTTATCTATATTTAATACTCCATGCATGTATTCAAAGATTTGATATGATGTGATGTGATGTGATGGAGAATCTTGCACTGTGCAAAATTTGGAGGTGTAAAGTTAATGGAACTAAACAAGGGCTAAGTGCGAACAGAGGTGAAGAAGTGCACAGACGCAGCTAGCAGCTTTTGATGGGACGCTACGACGACGATGTGCAGCATGTTCGTTTAGCTGTGGTTTGTCGTAAACGATCGTAATTTTTTAATCGAAACAGTATTTTTCTCTCACATAAACCAACCAGCAGTACTACTTCACAAACCAGTAACGATACGAACCAGCCAACCAGTCAACTCCCTTTCTCTCCTCTCCTCTCTTATTTAATTTGGTGCGCATCACGTCTTGTCATCTTCCTCCGCATACTTCCGGTGTTGCTGTGGGGGGCACGAAAGCCCAACTCGATCTGGGATCCTTTGTCACTGTTCGGCTGCTTGTATTTCAAAAAAAAAAAAAACTGTTGCTGGCTGTTAGCACAGTGATTCGTGAGTCGCGGCTGCTCAAGCAGCAGCATCAGCGGCTGCAAAAACCAGCTGGTGAACATGCTGTCGCTTTATGCTCTTCGTCTTAGCAATTGATCCACTGAAAAAATGATAAGCCAGGTTGAAAAATATTGTTTGCTGATTTATTGTGAGAGAAAAATAGTGTACCATGAACTAATAAGCTAGGTTGATAAGTTTAAACGAACAGAACCCAAGTTGGCAACGAATTTTGGAATCCTCCAGCTAGTCTTGCCTAAAGCAATAAAGCTGAGGTGCTCCCTCGACTCTCTGTGCTGATGATGCTAGGGTTTTAGCTAGGTCTTCAAACCACTTCTCATAGTGGTTTTTCGTGTTGTGCGTTTTGTTTTCTTTTATACAGTTTTTTAAGGTTTGTGCTCCTACTCTTGGAGGCTCAAACGGATGTAAGTTGTGAGTTGTAAGTGGGTGGTTGCTTGGCCAATTCGTGTATGTTGTTTTTTTCATCTTTACTCTTCTAATAAATTACAACGAAGCTTTTGTTGTCCTTTAAAAAAAGACGACTTTCGTGACGAGCTTGGCGACCATGACCTATATGCCGAGCTTCTAAGGTGGTGACTAGGCATAAGTCTCGTTCCCTGCATCCACTTCATGTTTTCGACGCATGGCTGGCATTTTTTATGGTTTTGGCTCTGGTCCACGTTGTGAAGTTGGAGTCCAAGCTTGGCAACCGTGACACATGGTGTGTTAGTTGATTGCCGCCATGTCTTGGTGGGTGTCACCTTAGCTATCTTGATCAGATTTTGTGTGATTGATTAGTTCGCGGCAATCTTCCCCTCCCATGTCCCATCTACACAAAGATTGGTTTTCAAGAGCCAGAAGATGTACTTGAATTCTAGGCTAGTTACCTCCAAGCGGGACGATGAAATGAAAAGGTCTCACCCACGCTACCTCAGAGTAACCCTTCAGTGCCGGATCTAAACCCCCTATCCCTACCGGAAATTGAAACAAAGAGGGAAAGTGACAGTGATGGGGTCTTCCTATCCCTGTCTGTTGCTCCAACCCGGCAGTGATATCAAACATCACTCGCCCTGTTCGTCTGGGCTTGTTTGGCTTGTGTTTGGCTTGTTTTCAGCCAATGAACAGTATTTTTTATCTTACACCAGATCAGCCAACAGTACTTTCAGCCATGTCTTATAAGCCAAACATGACCAAACGAACATGCTGACTGTCAGTTAATCTCCAACCGATAGTGATATCCTTAAAATCACTGCCGGGGTTAAGACTAGAACCGGCAGTGTGGATTTGAGCAACACTGAAGCTTGATTGGCAACCAACAGTGATATCCCTATGATCACTGCCGGCTTATGTAAGTAACCAGCAGTGATCTGATTTTCCCACATTCCTATTTATTAATTTATTTATTGTTTTTTGTGTAATACTTTTTATTTCCTATGGTTACTTGGACCGGATATATAAAGCATCACATATATCACAGATCCATCCAGATTTATAATAATACATATGTTACAATAATGTATATGTTACAATGAAAATTACAGTAGATGTTTCGTCGTCTCTGGATCTATACACCTCTTATCCTTGGCCAGTTACAACTCTTGATCCGTTTTGTAGATATATAAATACACAACCTTTTCTTATTCACCAAAATAGAAGTACGCTATGTAAGATACACAGTAAAAACTGTATATACCTAGAAAAACGTCAAAATTACTTACAATTTACAACCGAAGGATTACCCGCACAAGGGGAACGCGTGGAGACCAAGTCACATTTATTGACGTACAGGTTCTAGCTATAGTCTGCACCTGTGCAAACGATGAGATGTCCTACTCCCATCTTTATTACGAGCCTCCGGTAGGCTGATTGTGATGTCAGTGATGTACTCCCCGGCCCCAGAGTGCAAATGTGCAATAATCCTTGCCAGCTGCTATTGATAGCCACATCAGCATTATCCTCCACATTAATGCATGACCACATGCTGAAGGTCGTCATACCGGAACAGCCAACGTGAAAGGAACCACGCACCAAAGTGTGTCTTATCTACGGATCGGATCAGAGCGCGGAGGCATGCGTGCTGTAGCCTGTTGATGATTTCATTTTTCGTCATGACTGCGAGCTTGACTTGACTTGTGGTACCACCAAGGCCTTGTTTACATCATAAGTTTTTTCACTCTCTTTCTATCACATCAAATCTTTGAACGCATGCATGGAGTATTAAATGTAGATAAAAAAATAACTAATTACACAGTTTAATTGTAAATTACGAGACGAATCTTTTGAGCCTAGTTAAGCCATGATTGGACAATAATTGTCAAATACAAACAAAAATGCTACAG